CTCGACCTAGCATTAACGATATAACTAGTTTTGGAGGTTATCTGAGAAGAATGTTGTACCAAAAGGAAGCGTCGGGTATGCGATATATCTTTCACAATGTGAGGACTGAAGCAAATGGTGCGTATCCAAAGTGGAGCCTCAAACTTTTGGTGGAGAATCTATCTCTGTTTTTGAAGTTGAGAGTCAACAGGTGAGCTCCTAGTCTGCCACTTTTTGTGGCAACTGGGAATGTTTTTTCATGTTTGTTAGTACGGAATATACTTAATCGAGTGCAGTGATGTTCTATGATTCATACAGTTGACCTCACTTAATGGGATAAGACTTTGCTATTGTTTGTCAATAGGGAATACACTTACCAGATGCCATTAAGGGAAGTTTGTGTACTTTTTTTTCCTTCTTTTCAAGTTGATAATATATACATATATAACAGTCCCCTTTCGTTAAGGGATTCTTTGTAGGGCTCATTCTACTTCGTATTTCAACGATTCAATCATCTATCTTTTAGGTATTTGCTCAAAGATCATTTCTATCAAAGATACCCAAATTTGAAACCATTTGACCGTTAGATTAAACATTTGTCATATTAATGTTTATTTGAAAACCGTATTCGTTTATATCCTTCACTACAATAGGATGTCTTAAAGGTTTTAGATTTTTTTTAATTTTTTGCAATGATGGTCTATGAATGATGTACTAAAATATAGATGGTATATGTACACACATAATGCACTTTTGTTGAGAGATTCTTCAAATAAAATATATATGCTGCTCATTCCGTAACTTTTTAATGAACCTAAACAATATATATATATATATACACACACACAATATATATATATATATAGGAGGTCTTTAAGGAAAGAGATCTCTATTTTTTTTATAAAAAAATAAGGATTAGTTGTAAGATCCATACCACATCGAACTTTAATGATCCGAATCGTCTATTTTTCAAGTTGCACCTCATAGATCATCCTTGCAAAATATTAGCCAAATTAAAAAATATTTGAGGCATTTAATCAAAGAAATTGACGAATACTTTGTTCTATGATATATGAATTAAGACTTACAAATGATTTTGAATTGAATTTGATTTTTGTAAGGATGATATATGAATTAAGACTTACAAAATAGAGTGTTCGGATCCTTAAAATTCAATATAGAATGTGTCCTACAACTAGGAAAAGGATCCGGCACAATCGTGATCGTTTATCATACATCGTGTGGTCAGTTTTCGTTAGGTATTATTTATATTTATATTTAATTTTAAATTTTAAATTTTGAAATAATTTATAACCACACAATATATGATGAACAATCACAATCGCTAGATTCCTAATATCCTTAAGAAAAAAATCAATCCTTAGAAAAAAGATCATCGATGATCATTTTCCCTACAACTAATCCCTATTTTTTTGAATAAAATGAAAATCCCTTCCGAGTCCAGCGGTGGATTTTATGATTGGGTCAATTGACCATCCCTTTCGATTTGATTGCAAACAGGACGTGATGCAGTACTAATACGACTAACTGGGAATTCATCAAGCTGACGACGACTTATTTCATTCTTTTCCGGAATATACGCTTTAATTTTGTAATGAAATTAAGGAATTATAGATTCGTTAATCATCTGTATTTATCATTAAATTAACATGCTTGCAAAAGATTAAATAATCAAAGAAAAACAGTTGATAATATAAACTGGTACTGTATTTTAGAACTAAACGCTAAACCCTAAACCATAAAAATAGCTGCCGTGGATGTTATAAAATTAAATTCTTTTGTTATTGGTACTCTTAAAATATGAGCTTAATTTTACTTTAAAAAGTTTGAAGGTTCTTTTATCCAAAATGGTCTCTGATATTGTTATAACTCTTTACTTTGGTCCTTAAGATTTAAAATTGATAAAGGTGGTTACTGAGATTTTTCGCTGTCAATCATGTTGGTTATTCTGTAAAAAAAATCTCTGTTAAATTAAATAAGTCACCAGTTTAAGGGAAGGGGATGATTTAAAAAAAAATACACTCAATTTAACGGAGATTTCTAACATAATCAAAATGATTGACGGTGGATAATTTCAGGGACCACTCATATCAATTGTAAATCTCAATTACCAAAGTAAGGAATTATGTCAATCTCATGGATAATTTTGAATAAAAAATAAAGTTTGAAAATACCAACTAAAATCTACCGATACTTTTGTTCTTAGTCTTCAAATATATGCGAAGTCTGAATTTTCACTCTCTAATATATTAAAAAGGTCATACTCAGTGCACAAGGCTCCCGCTTTACGCATGGTCTGGGAGAGGTGAATGTCGGCTAGCCTTACCCCCATTTATGGAGAGGCTGCTCCCAAGTCTCGAACCCGAGACCTACCGCTTATGGGCGAAGGCACTTGCCATCACTCTCTAATATATTAAATTAAATAAATAAAAACCTTATAAAACTGTGTTGCATAGCTGAGTTTTTAATTAGTTTTTGGATCAAGTTTTAATATTCAACAGGAATGTAATGCATTTGGCTATATAGGTTGCCGGGCAAGGTGGACATTTTCAATGAGAGTGATCAATCATCTAGTCAATGTTCCAAAGGATTCACATCATGGATCCTCTTTCAAAGTCAAGAACGCCTAATTCAACCGTAAAACAAAGACCTGATGATGCACATATCTAGTCTTTTTTTTTTTAATTTCAAAATCATCAAAATTATATAACTTTCATGGTCAAACAAAAGGATTAGTGATATGTCTATAAATCTAAAATTTATGATCAACAAGATCCAACGTGTCACAAGAAACTGCATGATCATAATCTGAAAGCGATGCGGCGATTTAACTCTTGGATTTTCGTAAATTTCAAACTTGAGTCTTGTAGTTGTTAATTAAGATTTTATGATCAAACACCTGAATTTCAAAAGGGTGGTTCTATTCACAAGCCATTTTTACTTTTCACACACTCCTCTCAATTTCGACCGTCGAATCAAATGAATTGAAGAAGATCAAAATACAAAAATTAATAAGGGTTTGTGAGAGGTAAAGTGTTGAAATGTACTACCCTTTAAAGGACCAGGATCCTCTCCTGAGCTAAGGATGAGGATCCTCCTCATCAATGAGTGTGGGCCGTTGGATGAAAATTCAACGGCTACAAACAGAGGGATCTCTTTAAAGTTATAATAATTGTAACCGTTGAATTTTCATCCAACGGCCCACATCACTTGATAAGGAGGATCCTCATCCTTAGCTCAGGAGAGGATCCTGGTCCCCCTTTAAAAAACCGAGCTAGATCTCATAAGATAAAGGCTACATATGTCATACAACTGTCACATAAGGAGCTATCGTCGTGCTACGAAAGCAAAAGCTTGTTTATGCAACTTTAAGCGTTTACCTGTCTATATTAGTGTTTGACAAAATGCTCATCAGACGATGCAAAAGTTTTCTCGAGTTTCTTTTCAATATTTCATTTTATGATGTTTTCCTTTAATTTGATGATAATGAGATGACATCAGTACAATGTTTGATTTTATGGCACTTGTAGGTTCCACTTCCCTATTTTTTTTCCTTATTAAGGGTTGGCTTTGTATTGTTGTGTTTTGAAAAGAAAAAAAAAACTGCTTTTACTATACTGTGAGAATAAGCTTATTTTTGCTACTTTATATTTTCAGTTTTTTTTCACTCAAAACTATGAAAATAAACTGTTTTTAAGAGTTTGCCAAACACATTTTTGAGCTCAATTTTTTTTATACCTATTTTTTATAAAAGCACATCAATACCAAACTAATACTAAAAGGGATGCTCTTAGATTGATCCTCAATTATGTTACATTTATTATTTTGAAAAGATGGTATACCAAATTCGGAAAAGTAAAGACAACTCCATTTCTACTGTGGTAGGCCAAAACTCGTTTTCCGCCGTCCACTCTCAAACCCCATGTGGTCAATGCATCGCTGCTCATGTTTGGATTTTTCCATGTGCCCTAATCTGTTAAATTACCTGTAAAATCAAATTAATTAGCCGTAGCGAAAGTGTTTGGTTGGCTACAATGACATCTCCTGCCCAACTCACCAAAAGCAAGTGCATAACCACATTGACATGAGCGGATCGGATGTGTGTATGCAGGGGCGGAAGTATATTGGATCAAGGTTGTCTTAGAATTATTTGGAGTTCAAAACTATATAGATAAAGGTCTTTTGAGGATTCTATGAATGTTTGGTACAAGTTTTTTTTTTTGCCCACTAAGTGCTTGATTTAATGTTTACTGTCTGCTAGGGTTGTCTCGACAGGTTATGTTGACAATCCTCGACAAATACTCTCAATATTACTCATTAGGTTGTTTCGGCATATGATGATATATGTGGATTTGTGTGCATAATGATTTAGCTAACGAAAACAAGCCCACTAAGTGTTTGTAGAAATGGGACAATGAATAAACTAAAAATTATTTTTGTCTGCTCTGCGCCATGCTTCTATTCAGAAAACTTGGACCTTTAACCGTGCAACCCCCTAAAATTTGAATCTTGAATTCGCCACTATGCGTATGTACTCTTTCTTTTGCATTCGTGTTTATATTATCAGTTTGGGAAATATATTGCATCGACTTTCTGACGATGGAAAAATGCTAATATTGTACCCAAAATATGGTTCTCCAAAACATTATTATCCAAAATTACAAGCAAATTTACAACTGCTCACTCCAAAAACATATCTATTTACACAACCTCACATACTCTAGTGAAGTGGAAAAGAAAATAAAAACACGCACAAAAAACGTTGTAGCAAAATGACTGTTTTACCTCTAACCCCAGTGCGGAGGGAAACCGTTATTCAACGTGCCACGTCATTCCAACCGCAATTTAAATAGATGAAAGCGGGTCCCACTCAGACTACCAATCGCGACCGTAACACACTTGCTGCCTGCTTCCTCGTGACAGTGGGGCCCAGGGGATCCCCGTCGGATCAAGAAACCACGATTCCTTTTTCCTTCAAGTTTTCCAAGACGCCCGCCAAATTACGCAACGTCGACACCGACTTCGCCCGCCCACGCCCCGGACCTCCGACCCGAAACGAACCTCTTCATGCCGCCCAAACCAGGCGGTTCGCTCTCCACGCTGTATCTCGGCGTCGAGTCGATAGACAGCGCGTCGAAATCGTCCGCCGCCGCCCTGTCCCGAGCTCTCGACGTCGACATCACGCTGCTGTTTCTCGGCGGCGAGTCTTCCGCGAACGGCGATTTCGCCGATTTCTCCCGGTGTCCTCCGTGCCTAAAAATCGCCCGAAAACTCGCAAAGAAACCGAGTTTTCGTCTCTCCGCCACCGGTTTAACGGACTTCTCCATGGACGTCTCGGCCGACGATCCGTGCCGATTCCTGAACCGACGCTTTCTATCCCTCTTCGATCTCACCCTCCCCATACACGAGACCTTAGGAGACGATGGCTCGATCATCGGAGCGTCCGATTTCCCGACGGATCCAGTCCGTTTCGGGAACAGTCTCGTGTTTCCGGCCTTGGAGTGCCGCCGGTTCTTCTGGTCGGCGTAGTTGTGCTTCTGCGGCTTCGGAAGCCCGATGATCGCCGCCTTCGACTTCAAGTTCTTCGAAAACCTCTGTGAGTTCGAATTCGAGTGCGACGCGTTGGAGTTTCCTTTGGTGGAGTCTTTGCGCTCGTAGAAAGCGTTGCGGTCGAACCAGTCGTACTCTGCGTCTTTCGAGAGCCAGAAGGATTCCGGCGGTAAATCCGGCGCAACTTGCGGTTCATCGGCATCTTCTTCCGGCCGGTCGTGTCCAGCAGTGGCGGCGTCAGCCTGCGTCTCGCAGGCGATTTTCCGATCCATTGAGCCTCCCGCACACGCCGAAACTAGGGTTTCCAAATCGACTTGTGGCATATCGCAGAAAAAAAAAATGTTTATGAAAACTTACAGAGAGAAGGAGAGAGAGGGTGATGAGGAAGTTGTGAGAGGAGGAAGAAGGATTTATAAAGGTGTGTTGTTTATGGACCTCAAAGTCTTCGAAGTCTCCGATGAGAAGTAATATAATTTCCTTTTTATTATTTTTTATTTGTTATAATTTTTTTTACTATTCATTTATTTATTTTGTTTGACTCGTGCTGCGTGGTTTCGTTTTGAGAAAATTCGTTTTCGAAATGAGTCATGTTTTTTGTTTGAGCTATATTATCTACATTAAGGAGAAGTAAGAGATTTAATCTCATAATGAATTTGTAATAATGTCGTTTAAATTCGTTTCTGACAAGAATTGAACCTATAAATGAAGAGAAGTATCAATAGATAATTTTAATTTAAAGGTTTTAAATGTTAAACAACTTAAAAGAAAGCAAAATCATTTTATTTTTTATTTTTTATTAAGTTATCAAATATTTTTAATTGTTAAATATCAACATATATAAAATTATAACTAATATGTATTTAATTCTTACATGTCGAGGACATGAGATGAGCGGGGACTCTTTTGAAAAGGTAAAAAAGAATAAACTTTTCGTAGTTCGAAGACGGATGATACAAAACGCTGATTGCTTTACGCACTCGTTGATTATTTCTTTCTTTCGTTGGTGTCTCTCTAATTAATATTTGTTTTCCTTTCCTTTTGTTAGTTCTTTTTTACTCGGCTTTTACAACGGCTTGGCTTGCAATTTCACTATAAAACACTAGAAATTTCTACAAGTCCAAAAATCATATTTGTCAAAAGCAAAATATACACAGAAAATAACTGAAAGCGCTTTTTAAATTATCAAATACAAAATAATTTGAATTAGTGACTCCAAATTGGAATTCTCGTGTTTTTCTTTGACTCTAATTTGGATAAATACACTTTGTTCGCCATGTCATTCTACTGAAGCATTAGCCACTGTTTTATTGTTGGTATTTATCTATGTGACATTTTCATGTAAGCTCATAAGATATCTATTTGTTGTATGCGTAGTGCTATCCATATACTTTTTTTTACTTCTCACACTCCTTTTAATTTTCGACCTTCGACCGTTAGATCATCAGATCGAATGAAGCGAAGAAGATAAATAATAAAAAAATATCAAGAGTGTGTGAGATGTAAAAATGAGTATGTGAATAATACTACCTTGTTGTATATGTCTTTTCACTTTTTGTGTTTTTTATTTGTACATGAACAACATATATTAGAAAACACGATAACAAATATGTCTGTTTGTAAGTTCAACTAACACCACTCGCTCTTATAATATATTAATTTCTCATAATCTAGTAATAAAATGAGAAATGACAAAAGAAATGCATCATATCGTAGACTTTATGTTCATTCGATAAAGTGACAAAAATTGAGAAGAACCACATTGTGGTTTGCAAACAAAGTTTAGATTAAGACTGATCGAGTATGAAGTGTTGATGGGCTTCTCCATGTGTGATGGAAGTATAATGGACTGCAAGTACAAAATTCGGGCCTAAAGCTAGCATTCATGCAGAAAAATGAGGTGTAAGTAACCCTGAATCGATCACATGATCGGTGATCGAAATCTGGATCGTTAGAGGTGACCTTGGAATGGATTGGGTCGCAGGTTGGGTTATCAAAATTGGTTGCGAAGCGTGTTGGGCCAACACTTGCTCGTATTGGGCCTGTATTACCGTTGGCTCTCCTGGCCATTGAGTTGCTTGGCTGGCAGCAACTGCTGCGTTTTGGGCTAGGGTTTAGGCCTGCTGTGTAGTAAGGTCTGCCGTTGCAGTGGATTGTACCTTTTGGTTCTGGGCCTGTGGTGGCAACTACCAAGTTTTGAGCCTCCTACCCATGGGATTAGAAGTGGACCTGAGCCTCTTGCCTAGGTTTGTTGGGAGTGGTGCCGTGGCCTGATGACCTTGTCGTGGCTGCTGGGTCAAGGTGGTGATGGTGGTGGAGCGGCTCCATGGCTCATCGGTGGTGGGGCTCCTCCTGCGCCTGCAGTGAGCTGCAGTGAGCCTTGAGGATCTCTGTTGTAGGGCTATGTTATTGTCTCCATTCTCCGGTCCAAAACCTTCCATGTATGGGGTTCCGTTCGTCTTAGTTTCTGAATTTCCTACCATTGTATCCTTTCTCCATTGATCAAGAAATTTTTCTAGGAAAAATTAATTAATATGACGTGTGAGAAATTCAACGTAACAGAAAATTCAAGAAACTAACGCGAGAGGCTTCTTCAAGTGTTTTGAATCAGCTCTCAATGAAAGCACCAATTTGTCGATGCATGTTTCCGCCGTCTTCAGTCTTGACGAAAATGCACTTGCAAAACAATCAACACCTTTGATCAGAGACCTAAGCCTCACACGCCCACGAGGTGGGGGGGTTAGGTCAACGGATCTCCGATGTTTAAGTTAGTTTCTCTGAGAGAGTAAAGTGTTTAGGGTTTTTTAGGGTTGCAAAAAGCTCTCTAAAATTGGTAGAATATGAGGCATTTATAGCGCTAGGGCCGGCCATATAGTGTTTAATGGAGATATATTCTCTAACTATTCCAAAAATATTAAATAGGAAATAATATCTTGAGATAATGGTGTAATTGATTGGAGTTATTCTTCAAGTAGGAATGTATTAAAGATAGGATTTGGGTATTTAATCCTTATCTTTAATTCCTTGCCAATGACAGGTGAGCTGTGGACAGTTGTGTTTAGCTGTTGAGTCCTTTAAGGATGTGAGTTGCATGTGGGAGCATCTGAGAAGCCTGCCCATTTATTGAGGGCAATCTTGTTTTTCTTTGAATAAAAGTCCATGTGTCGCCTCTAGAATATTTGAGATTATTTTAGGCTCCACAATTATAAAAGTTCTCTTGTCTTTCTTTCATGGGCAGGGGCCCTGCACTTAGCATCTCTTCCAGTTAGAGACCTGGGATCCCGCAGAATTGAATCATTTAGTTGGCTAAGTCTATTCTAGGGGAAAGACTATCGTGGCCAATTCTGGGAGTCATCCGGCGCAGGTAGTCGATGCATTAAGGAGGAACTGAGCAGTCGTAAAACCCATCCACGTCTAGATATTCCGGAGTAGTTTACCCTCTCGCGCTGGAGAGTATACCCGTATGGGTGTCGGGGAATTAGTTTACCCTCTCGTGCTAGAGAGCTAACCCAGATGGGTGTTAGGGAATTAGTTTACCCTCTTGCACTGGAGAGCGTATGCCATGTCTGCAGGGCAACGATTGTCTTTTGCTTGTCATAAAAGTATGCTAGTTTGTTTATGCATTTGGCCCAGGCAGCTGGTCTATCGACATACTAGTCACACTTGCCTTCATTCAAGAGCTGCTCAAGGTACCTCTTACATGTAGTGCAGTCGTTGGTTATGTGCCCAGGACCTCTGTGGAATGCGCAGTATTTGGTCCAGTCCATCTTAAAGGTGTCGTCTCTTACGAGTGGTGGCGACTTAAACCATGGCTTATCCTTGAGGTTGCGGAGGATCTGGTTAATTGTGACTGAGAACTTGGTGTACGTCTTGGGCGCTGTGCCTCCCTTCGATGGGGGACTGGTCCCTGCGTCGGTCTATTGGCTTACTTTTGTTATTGAGTGGTTTATCGCTTGCCTTCTTCTGAATCAGTTCCTCGTCTTTGCGCGGCTGCTCAGGTGGCTTCTAGGAGTGTTTTTCTTCATCCCAAAGGGAGTGCTTTTTTTTACCAAAGCATAATAGTTTGTTAGGGACATGTTTTCGCCCATAATCAATTCTCTGAAAAGTGGGTGATCTGTTGAGAGCCCATTTCGGAAAGCTGAGCATACGATGTTGTTATCCCATCCGACAATCTTTGCCTTCTTCGCCTTGAATCTTTGTCGTAAGTGTGGAGTGACTCATTCGGGTCCTTCTTCATGTTGAAGAGGTGGTCAGATTTCTTTTTGATCGAACTGTAGGACGAATATTCCTTAGTTAAGACCAAGGAAAGTTCGTTGAAGTTTCGGATTGAGCATGGCGGTAGGGTGTGAAACCAGTCTTGCGCCTTCCCTTTAAGCATCGTGGCAAAGATCTTGCACATGAGAGCGTCATTGTTGGTATAGAGGGTCATGAAACTTTGGTAGTGCATCAAATGTCTATCAGGATCTTCATCTCCCTTGAACAAAGTGAAATGTGGCGAATTGAACTTCCACGGTGGCTCCGTCTGCTCGATCTCGTCTGTAAATGGTGATCTGCGCCACGTCTCTATCTACGGAGGGCATCGTCAGTAGTGTCAATGCGCTGGAATCTGCGCAGCTGCTTTGTTACAAGCAATTGTACTTTCTCCTGGATTTGAGCCTGGTAGGGCAGCGGAGCCTCCAACTGCCCCAGTGTTGACCTGCCAGTCCACGTTGCTTTTCAGTTCATCTTGCTTATCTGTGCCACCATTGCGATGTATATGGTTTATGTTGTTGTGCTGTTTGCCGTCGTGTTTGGCGAGGGCTGCTAGTGGAACTCGAGCTGGACTACTCACGTGCTCTTCTTTGGGCATCATGTGGCTGCCTATTCCGTTGCCTAGTAATAGGATCTCCTTGTGGGCCTAGCCTCGTGTGGACGCTTCACCTGGAATGTCCTGAGCGCTCGTCAGAGTGTGCACCCAACCTCGAATGCACACTGACTCGTGAGCCAAGTTAGGAATAAACGTTTCTCTGCGCATCTGGGAGGGATAAGACGTTTCCCCAAGGGCCCAAACGAGAGTGTACACTACCTGAACGCATGGTTCGTGTTGGGCTGAGCGGCTTTTTGCTGGGACATAGCTGGAATGAGTCACGTTCTTCCGCCCTTGTTCTGATTCAGGACACATCGTATGGGGTGCGCTGCATCTCGATGTGCTCGAGGAGTTGGTTCACCAAGGTGGTTTGATGCGCGAGGGCGTTCGTCAAATTGGCAACCTACTGGGGCAAATGGTGCTAGCCATTTGGATTAAAAGAGCTTGGATGATGGGCTTCTCCATGTGTGATGGAAGTAT